ATCAAATAGTCAGAGAGTACCTCACCATAGAGGACACAATACTGCACTGGTACTTAGCAAGTCTCTATCACAAAATGTGATACACATTATTGTTGAGCTCTCCCAAACTCTAGCACTGGTAGGATGTTTGAGGTACCATCTCCCACATGTTGGAGATGTCAGGAACCTTCACAGGTGTTAGCTGGTGGGTACGGTTAGTTTAGGGTTGTTTGGTGGGTTGATGGGTGTTGGTTGGACTGTGAAACTTCTGCCAGCTCCTCACAAAAGATACATCCTGTCAAGAAAATAACTCAACATTAGTCATCACCAAGAGGGTAACATCTTGACAGGAAAGACAGAACAAGCATCAGTCATCAACCCCCATCTGCTGACTCCCCCCTGCTCTCCTGTTTCATTCCTCAGATTGTCTCTCCAGACCAAGAGACATAAGTCTCCTATATTCATCTGTCTGTTTAGTGCAAGAGAAGGCAAGTCAGATATACAGTGGAGATAGAGTGTTCTAACACATATATCACTCTCTCTCTCTCCCCTCCCTCTGCACACAGACACCAATATTTACTGTCAGTACCTGCATTCACTAGATTTCCCAACGCTCGCCCTAGCACTCATTGATCTGGGTCAAACACACACATACTTTGATTAACAAAGTCCTGACCCAATTATGTCCCCATTTGGTATGCACAACTTCTCTAGTTAGTTTAAAACGTACATACTTGTAAGGGTATTAAGTTTTACCAGTATGGGTGGTTTATTGAGGGCATAAGCTATTTAGTCTGTACAGGGGAAGGTCTACGTTCGAATCCGCTACTCTAGCGATCAAGAACGGTCGAACTAAGTGTGATCACACAGCCGATACAGATCTCTCTACAGCAGTGACTACTTTACAGACATCATTTTAGGTACTCGTAAACTATAATTAACTTACCCAAGCATATGTAAAAACTGAGACATTCCAGATTGCCTTGAAAAATGAAATGATACAGGCATAGATTGACACGTCTGGACGCTAGGAGCCGGCAAGAGAGAATGGCGTCACTTAGACGCTTCAGGCGTTGGTACAAAAAGAAGTCCCTAGTATACATGAGCAAGGAGTAAATCGGTATCCACGAAACCTCAAATAACTCCCTTCATATATATCCAAGATATATACATTTAAAAGTGGAGTTTAGTTACAGTAACCAGAAAAGGTAGACATAATAATGTTGTCCAATAAAGGCCTATATATATAGATATAAGGGACTATATATTTCTGGGCGAGTCCAAGTTTGAATTTTGTGCAAATTACAGGTAAGACAGGTTATCAGCCTTACAGACCGATGCGTAATGGCTATCATTTCACGACAACAGTGAGGAAAGAACTGGTTATCGCCTCTTTATTACATACACCAGTAAATGTGATACCGGTGTGAAAATAGAGTCCATATGTCAGAAACGAGACTAATAATGTTGCAAGTCAGTACTTTTGTATGGAGTGTAAGAATGGAGAACAGCTAAAACAGTTACAAATAAACTGTACACATTTATTAACTGGTTGTTAAATGTTATTTGCGTATCCTTTACAGGATATCGCAGAACCAATATATATCCGAGACAAGATGCTGTTTATTGTCCAAACTTCCTTGATGTTCAGATCTTTTAAAATTATGAGGGGGAGGAAGGGAAGTGGGGGGGGGGGGGTTAGGGTTAGTGTTAAATGACTGGTGACTACTACTAACACTATTTCCCCCCCCCCTTTTCCCCTCCCATTCTATGGGATGTCTCTAAATCATGTTGATGTGGTCGCTAAACAGAAAAGAACCCAGAAAGCTTAAATTTTGTAGTGTTTCAATATAGCCACCTTATAAATGTAAAGATGTCCGCCATCTTTGCTTGAGCTTGAAAAGACCTTGGTAATAGAACAAGCAATTATCAGAGGCCTGTGTGACTTCTGCATGGCCAGCTCCTTCAGTGATTGTGGACCTCATCACACGCAAACTGAATTCCTTTTATCTCTTTTTTAAGTTTTGGGTAGAAAAAAACGTCCGAGCGTGCCAGATTCTGTTGAACACCGTGGGTGAGGAAGAATTTCAATATTCAGATTGTTTGTTCTTAGTTGCACCATCCGTGTTTTGTGAAAAGAAGCCTTGAGCTGAAACAAATGTTATGTGTAGAGTTTGAGTGCGGGCGATTTATCGTTTCCTTGTCACAGTTTTTCTAAGTTTTGTACGGAGACCCGAATAATACTGTCCATTCACAGTCTCACATCGAGGCAGGGATTCTTTCACTAGAACAAATCTGGCCACCCCCAAAAATTGTCATAATCACTTTCCCTGCATATTTCTGTGCTGCTTGACAGGTGTAGGGAATCGAATTTTTTCCAGTGCATGCTGACAATTTTGCACTGGGGGTCATAGTGGTGAACCCAAGACTCATCTACTGTCAACATAGTCGTCAAAATATTTTCTGCCACTCTTTATGAGTAACTATCGACAACACGTTATCCTCATTTCCCTCTGTTTGCCTGGTAGCAGACGTAGAACCCAGCGTGCACGCACACTGTTCGCATGACCAGTCTTTTGTGTAAAATTCAAGCAACTACACTTTTACTAAGTTTAACTGCATTAGTCCTCAACAGTCATTTTTCGATCTTGGTCAATGATTATCATCACTTTTTTTTTTTCTCTGAATTTCCATCAGTCGACTCTGAATGCGGTCTTCCGCATCTTAGCATATCAACAATATTTATGCGACCAGACTTAAACTGCCTGTGCCAATTTTTTTTATTTTTTTTAACAAAATCTTATGAAGAGCAGGATTTCTGAAATACTGGTTTCATCTCCCTGTGTATTTATGTTGGTGTTTAGCATTGCAACATCATAAATTGTATCCTTTGCTCTGGCACCTGTAGCTACTTTTGTGGTGAAACATTTAAGCAGTAGATCCGGTCAACATGTGGTATAGCGTTGTGTCCCATAACGCAAAAACCTGTCATAGGATCGGATGCAAATTTCTCATATAACTTATGGGTGCGAGAGTTGGAAATCAACAGTAGCTCTAGACAACAACAACAACAACAACAACAACAACACAACAACAACAACAACAACAACAACAACAACAACAACAAAACAACAACAACAACAACAACAACAACAAAAGAGTTTCGAAAATTGATGTCTAAGAGGAATATTAAATCTCCACTGGGCAGATGTCGGGGGCCGCGTTAGCGCAGTCGATAAAAGGCTCGCTCTTAAATCCAGCTGCGACTCGCAGCAGCCCAGGGCCGATGTTCGAAACCGGGAGGCTTCCGGGGTTCACTCAGCCTCTAAGAAACGGGTACCAGAGCTGACACTAGGGTAAATGAAGGAACGTCGCTGTAGCTACAGAGTTACGTGAGAACGGAGACACCGGGGGGGGGGGGGGGGGGCAATTCTTATCAGCTGTCCGTACTTGTGGCAGAACACTTATGGTTTATAACCGTGTGCAATGACGCTGGTTCACATCTCCCGACTTTATCTTTTTGGACAGATTTCAAATCACGTACGCAAATAAGACAAGAGACCAAGCAAGATGATGTATCCAGTTTTATAAGAAAGCGTCACTGAAATTTCATTGGCCATGCACTCAGAACGGATAAGACGAGACTTTCCCATCAAGCTCTCATAATGACATCGGAAGAGAAAGGAATAACGGGGAAGACCGAGAGAGAGAGCCTGTGTAGAACCATTATCAGGAAAGGCCATATAATGGGTTTAATGAACATCCAGGACTTAAAACAGGTGGCAACGAACCGCCAGACATGGAGAGCTATGACATCTGCCCTATGCGCCGCCCTAGACTCAAGTGGAAAGACCAACTAACTGACTGACTAACAAATGTGCTAACTTTTGTTTTTTACCTGGTTACTCCTTTATAGTCAGCGGAAGGATTTGTGGATCAAACCTCTTATAAGAAACACCTAGCCTCAGCATACTAGGGCAGAGGTTCTCAAACTGGGTGCCGCGGCCACAAAGATTTAGTAACCCCTGTGCTAGAGAAACCTGGCTAGACATGTTTTGGATACACTCTATAAACTTCAATTTCCAGGACCCCATGTGTTGCCACTTGGAAACAAACATACTGTTTTTATGTAATTGTTGCTATTCCTGTGTATCTTCTTATAGATATTCTGAGACTAAAAGATTTTAGAGATTAGGACTGTACACCGGATCTCTAAAGGATCCTTTTCCACGGCTTCAGGTGTATTGGTCATACATTTTTAGACCAAGCGGCACTTGGTAGGTGATGTGGTGAACAACACGCCTACCGCCTTTACTTCTTAAGACTGACATAGAGTCACATATTTCTAAAGTTGGGCATAATATCCGGAACGGACTATAAAATGTTAGCATACAGACATGCAGCACAAACAGAGAAATAGGCATACAGACACGCAGCACAAACGGAGAGATACGCATACAGACATGCAGCATAAACAGAGAGATACGCATACAGACACGCAGTATAATCAGAGAGATACGCATACAGACTCGCAGCACAAACAGAGAGATACGCATACAGACACGCAGCACAAACAGAAAGATACGCATATAGACATGCAGCATAAACAAACAGAATTCAAACAGACATGCATCATAACAGAGAGATGTGCATACAGATACGCAGCACAGACAAAGATACGCATACAGACATGCAGCACACAAAGATAAGCGTACAGACACGCTACATACGCATACACACACGCAACACACAGCGAGATACGCATACAGATAGGCCACACACACACACAAACACAGACACACCTGCATACATTCTTTATGTTTTTGTTGTTTTTATAGTGTTTAAACCAGCTCGTATCGGAGATGAGTGACGGACTAAACTAAACGTCTTTTGTTTTGTTTTCTTCACGTTTCAGTCGGGATACAGACATCATAGCTCAGCTGCCTGAAGGACTACTGGCCATTGACAGCTTCTGGCTGGGAGGGGTAGAAGACGTGGTGGCGACAGCTCTAGATTACGTCATGTCCGCCACCATGTGTGTCCTCAAAGAGGAGCTGACCAACGACCAACAGGTGCCTTACAGTGACGGACTGCAGCCAGCAACTCCAGAGGATGGAGATATGGACCCTCCGCCAGTCATCAACTTGGGCAACGCCACTGACTTCCCCTATTATTTTCGAAGGTAAGATAACAATTATTAGCCTCCAGTGTGTAGTGGCTAAACGCTCGACTGCAAGGCTGAAAATAGTGGGTGGAGATCTGAGTCGAGCCGGGTTGTTTTTCAAAAATGACCTTGACTTTCAAGTCAACCCAACCTGAAATAGGTACCGGGTCAAGTCTGGGAAAGAAAAGGCGACGGTTGTGATGTTGTCGACCACGTCGGACCTGTTCACGTTTCTCGGCCCATCTACTCACTTTCTCAGTCTGATCTAGGTCAGAGGGTGTCAATTTGTACTGCTTTTTTTAAAAAGAGTCTCTCGTGTGACTTAGGTTGAGGCTGTGGGAACAGGAGTTTGGGTTAGGGACATTTCTACATGTTCTGGGGTCGATGAAAACTGTCGTCCTGTAGTATAGAACACGCGACATCGGTGCTGATGTAATTGAAGGGAAGACAAGTGACACCCCTTTCGACGTAGAAGAGTCTGAGAAAGTATCAATGAAAGTTCAGGTAGTGTGTACATGGGTCAGGAAACGTGAACAGGACCGATTGGTCTATATAATATATTTCTAGCACTATTTGCTCAGCACGCCCAAGGGCGGGGAAAAGGGTGTTTTACTTTATTTACTGGGATTAAAACTCTTAGATTGTACCAGCACTGGAACTCCTCCTCCTCCAGTTCCGTTTCCTTCTTCTTCGGTTCTTCTTATGATGATGATACTGCTGCTGTTTTTCGACTACTTTGCTAATAATTTTAATAATAATAATTACTACTACTACCACCACCACTACTAAAATATCCCCCTCATGTTTTCCTTACTGTTAATTATATCATTTTGACTGTCTGTTTCGTGTGGTGTGACGTTGGTAACCATGTCTTTTCACAATCTTCTCTCCTGTGCACTTTTAATTAATACTGATATAGATGCTCTTTCATGTCAGGGTGCCAAACTGTTAAGTATTCTTTACCTTGGTCTTCTGTTTCTCTTCCCTTCCAACTATTCCGTCATCGCGACGTACTCTAGTTCCCCCCCCCCCCTTTTTTTTCCCCTTTTTCATTCGACTTGCCCATTGAATATGGACTGTATCCTTTTGATGCGGGTTCAAGTCATCGTTACGTTTGTTCTCAGTCCACACAGTTTTAATCTTGCTTCTATAAAATCCCACAGGCTCAAAGAAATCGGAGGAAATTGAACACATATCTCTCTCTCACACAAACACACGTGTTGCGAAGTCATGCTGTTTGTCTCGCGCTCTTAAGGTAGAGGATTCGTTTTACGGCTGACTCTGAGTTCACGAGTGCAGTTTTTACGGAGATCCCTGGGATCATCGTCGGAGCTACGGAGTTCGTGCTTTATGTGTTGCTCTCGGCTGGCAGCTGGCTCTTCTGCTTCTGCCGGCACAATAAAGTCGATCCTTTTGACTTTAACTGCAACAAATACAGGAAGATCTTAGTCGCAGGAGCGAATGAGGCAACCTTGGTGTAGCGACTAGCAACCTTGGTGTAGCGACTAGCAACCTTGGTGTAGCGACTAGCAACCTTGGTGTAGCGACTAGCAACCTTGGTGTAGCGACTAGCAACCTTGGTGTAGCGACTAGCAACCTTGGTGTAGCGACTAGCAACCTTGGTGTAGCGACTAGACGCGGATCCCTGCGGATCCGAAGGTCGTGAGTTCAGGTCCAACCAGACCAAAAGTGATATTGGCTCCCAGGTTGACTGCGCCTTGAAATGGTACCAGGTGGGGGTCCTGGCAAGTAAGGACGACCAGCATGCAGTTGACGACATCGCCAAGTGCCAATTGGTCAACAGAATATAGGTAGGAAGGTAGTTAGTACCCCACTAGGACATCACATAAGCATTCAACATCCGGTGACACAAAGTACCACGATGCGGATGAGGATCACTCGTGGAGAGGTCTCAGAAACCCCTTTCAGCCACGAGGCCATACATTTACAGTATATGGCCCGGCTATATTCAGGGCTCCCGGCAAAAGCCAGGGTGGAGCTTCAAATAACAAAAAATTGCATCCAACATGGGGACGACTATTATAAATTATATATAATATAGATCTAGCTCCCCTTATACGCTTGAATGTAGAAAAAAAAAGAGGAACGAATAAGACAAGACACGAAAGGGACGGCGATAGATATCAAAACAAAAGACCACTTGACGTGTCTTCACCTGCATAGGAGTGCAGGATACACCTGGCTGGTGAAGCCGTTTTGGCTGCCCTAATTATATCTTCTTTGGAGGTTGAACTGTGTATCTTTTATCTACCTCCTTGGTCTCCGATCCAGACTGAGACTTTTTACATCTTAAGACATTATGGCAAACCTCTAGGTAGCAGCCAGGAGTGGACAATATGATCATTCGATCGATCAACTCATCTACTTGTCGGGCGTTGGTTCATGGCCTCTGATCCATATGGAGATAAGGGAAGATTTACGCATCGCAAACTTTAATGATTGCATAATATTGTTTTTCCCTGTATACATTTATTGATGTTATTTGAAGGTGTGCAGCCTGTTAGATCAGATTATCACGTTGTTTAAATTTTTTTTTTTTTTGCCAGGGAACAAGTAAATACAGATTGTTGGGGGTGTGTGTGTGTGTGTCCTTTTCGTGTATATTTTCGTCGTGCCAATCTGTCATGAGAGATCCCTCTGGGAATCGTTACGGCTGTCTCTGAATTAGAACGCTATCAACAGGAGGAGATACGATAGAATAAACAACAAAAATTAAAATAAAACTGACACCCTGTGCAGATCAAGAGCATTAAAACATGCACCGTAAAAGTTGAGAGTATGGGTTAATGGAGGTACCAGACGGAAGTGCAAAGACTTATGGGTTGGTAACGTGCATACAGGCAGGTGGATTTAACAAATAAACTACAATCTAAATTTGTTTTTGTTTCTGTTTTTGTTTAGCGGCCAGTTGGCCCGCGACAGCAATTTTCCCTGTTTTGGTGGGCCATCTATGCATAAAAGTCTGAGGAATGAATGAATCAATCAATCAAGAACTCCATTCTTGACATTCCCACCCGTGCTCCAACCCGCTTCATTAACCAACAAAGAGTTGGTATGCTAATAGTGCGGGCTGTAACTTTATGGCGGTTTAGGAACACATAGACCAATCGGCACTAGGTTGGCTGATGTAATCACCATCACGCCGGTCACCTTGACTTCCCTTGACTTTACCTGGCACCTATGTAAGGGAGCTCAGGTCTTTAAAAAATAAAAGTTAGGCTCTGTTTGAATTTGAACCAACGACCTCTGGATTCGCAAGCGAGCTCTCTAGCCGCAGCACTACTGCTGCTCTAGTTATAAGTAAATACTTTAGGAAGCGATATATCTGGCGCGGTTACACGTCGTCCCTTAAGCTCGACGAAGATCTTGACAAAAGAAGTCATTTCTTTTGTATTTCTGTTTTAGAAAAACGTTAATGCTAAAGTTTAATTCAGATCCTTTTCCTGTGATTTGTTTGGTTGTTTGCGTTCACCAGCTGTAAACTCCGGGGGAAAGACCTGGTTGTTCGTCCATTTCAGAACTTTGGCTTTGTTCCAGGATCCAGGACCTGATTTTTGCATGTGCATCCGTTTTACAGTTCTCGCTTTTTTTTGTATGCAAACCGTTTGTTTCTTGTCCCTGAAGCAGATGCAGTCCAGCTCTGAAGGAATTAGTCGATTCCTACGACATGCTTATTTGGGAGGCGGTGGGTCTATTCTTGTTTTCTCCACATTAGGGCCCGGGAACCCACACAGAGATCTTCTATGATTTAATCTTGCAAAATTAAAAACCTCGTTCAGTAACGGATCAAACTTTATATATTTCCAGATGTCTACGCAACCTTATAAACTTCTGTGATAACTCAACCAATGCAAGCAGCAACGCCACCGACGCTGGTGAGGAAGCGGTCGTAGACGACTGTAACCCCAGAGACAACTTTGACGTCTTCCTGGACACATCAGCCCGAAACAAGGGCCCAGCCTACTACCTACTCAACACCGTTGATGATGGTTTAGGTGATCGAATATGGACCAAAGTTGGCTACATCACTGCCAGCGGGAAAAGGGATCTAAAGACTGTGTTGTGGCCAGGTTGGTTTTCTAGGTTTGATAGTCTGCTATTGTTTTGTGTGGTCTTCTAAATCTCCATGCATCTGTCCTCTGTTAACTTATGGAGTCGTATTATTATTATTATTATTATTATTATTATTATTATTATTATTATTATTATTATTATTATTATTATTATTATTAGCGTTGTTGTTAGTCATTTGAACAAGTCTTAGATATCTTGAGAGTCTCCTTGATTGTTTTCTTTGTGTCGATGCCCTTGCCACACTGTTTTATTCGAATACTTATTTGTGTCATTATGTCCTTTAACACCTTTTATCTGTACCATTTTCTGCAGGCTGGTTTGACATGAGTCATGGACTTATTCTTTGAAGAAATAATCCACAGCTTGTGAACTGAAATGCTACAGAAAAGTCTCAGAAAACCGTGAGAAAAACACCTGGCATTTTACAATATCTAAGCATCGAGGAGAATTGACTCAAAGCATCCTGTTCCGATAGCTGCTGTATGCAGGCCATGTTAAGCATCATGGTGGCATTAAGAGAATGATAATGGAGGGAGCAGTTTTCGGAAAACAAGAGCAGAGGCCAACCTCCGCGAAAATGAATGCAAGACACTGAAGATGCATCGGTTATGAAAGCACATAGGGTTGGAAAATTGACTGGAGAAAGAAGGACTTTGAGGCTTGTTGTGAAGAGAGTGATGTTCTGTAAAAGGCCCGCTGATTTATTTGTGTCGTTAGCACAACGAAGGTGTTTATGTATGACCGCCTGCATTGTACCTATTAGGTATAAACCCATTTGTCAGTTTGGCTTCAAAACAGAGATCTCCAAAACTCAAAACAAAGACCATTTGCCACGCCTTCAGGCGCATTGGGCACATAAGGCTAGACCTATATTTCATAGACCAATGGGAACTTGGTGGGCGATGTGGTCAGCGTCACATTGGTGGTTTAACTGTAAATGTATCCTAATTATCTGACAGGAGGCTAAATGGGTGTCTGTCTATGATATGTCCTGTTAGATTACCATCCATGGTGTGACTCGGAGTGTCGAGAGGTTCAGGTTACAACCCTGAAAATAAGAACTATTTCTTGGGTCCCCGTTGAGATCTAATCAAGTCTGCATTGTTTTAAAAGACTGAACCGGCTCTCTGGGATGAGCTTGTGTGGAGCTGCATTCGAAAAGAGACTTCGTGAGTTACCTGGGTCTCGTGGGCAGCAATCAGTTTTTATTAAAAGTCAGTAAGTCACCTGACCATTTTATTTAGACCACGAACTGGACACTGCAAACTCCACAGATATAAGTACAAAACACCAAAGATTTCCAAAAGTGGACAGGGCACCACAGAATATTCAGCATGTTGCAGCAGACGTGCTCTCTGCATGCAGTAGGCGATCCATAGTCTGGCTATTCAGCATTCACCATTATCATCATCAGTTTGAATTGACCAAGTTGAACCACTACCTAGGAAGCTAGCCTCTTTTAGATAGCATTATTTATAATTTTGGCTCCTGTTCGTGCTGTTATTTCATTCTGTGTTTCTTACTGCCGCTGGTTCTAGTCTCCAATATCTGTCGGGCCAGGTTTTCTGTATGTTGTTTTAAAGGCCATCATTATAGTGCCGATTTTTTAGTTTGGTGCTCGTCATGTTGCCGGATTTTAGGGTTTCTGCCACTGGTTGCTGTCCTCTATTTCATTTTCATAATGTATCTGCTACAGTGGTGGCTCTGTTGAAGTCATCCATGTCTATGGTAACTAAGCTAAATAGATCAGTGGCGGAAACGCGACCCACCACAAACTGCATACAGGCTTGTTACCTTATTTGAAAGCCCGGCTCTCTAGCGTAGTTGGCTAAACCGGATTGCGCGGAGACCGGGTGATGAACTCCTTGTGGTCCGGGTTCACTCCCGGGGGTAGGCAGGAAAGCCACATTTTCTCCCAGATTTACGGTATTTACAATGGAATTAAGGCCGAAAGGTTGCGATATCCATAATTCCGAGCCTAAGGGTTAACAACTCATGGCTTCTGGATACTTAAACAAACAACAAACAAACAACCTTATTTCAAAACCATTGGCAATAGAGCGAAAATAAAAGTTTTGCCCTAACTCTGATTGATTTGTTAAATTGTGTCTGTCTCTATCTCTAATCCCACGTTCTGCCCCAGGTCACAACATCTACGGTCCATCCTCCGACATGGTAAAAACCTACAGGGTGGTCACTCGCTCGGCAGAACCTTTTGTGCTCATCAACAGCCAAGCTTCTCGGAAAGAGGAATGTCATGCACAAGTGCCTTGTCTTCAGGTACACATGCCAAAATGTTATTTTCAATCTTTAAGCTTGTATCTCTCCATCGGATGAGGTAATATACATTACAACAACATATAATTATGCAAAATGAGCAGATTAACCAAAGAGAAAGCTTACGATTAAAACAAAGTCGCTGGTGTGTCTTTCTTGGGTTCTCAGCACTCTGCTTTATGCAGTGAAACTTGGTCAACTTATTCGTACCAGGAGAAACGGCTAAATAGCTTTCACAGGCTATGCTTAAGAAGAATACTGGGCATTAAGTGGCAGAACAAGATCACAAACACTTAAAAGGAGCAGGTTTTACGAAAGTCTTCTCAATGCTCTGTCTACGAAAGCTCTGGTGGCTGGGTAACACCTGGAGAATAGAGGATGGCAGAGTCCCTATGGACATTCTTTATGGTGAATTAAAACAGGGTAGATGAAGTCAAGGTCCATCTCTACTACGATATAAAGACGTGTGCAAGCGGGACATGAATGATACAGGCGGTAATAAAATGCCATAGACCGTGTTGTGTGAAGGGGGCACACCGAGAAGTGAATGAGAATGAAGGAAGAATTGATTGCAGAAAGGATGAGAGCTGAGCGTCTGAGAAAAATAAACAGGTTAAATACAGGTTGACAACATTGGTCCTGAAGCCCCACGCTATAATTGTGGAAGACTTTTCTTAACGCCGGTGGGTCTCTTGATGTGCTATTTATGGACAATGTTGTAACGACTGGGGAGACCAGCAGTAGAAGAGGGAGAGGCAGACCAAGAGAGATGATGACGGGTGGACTGCGACGTTGGCATGCAGGGATATCATCAGTCATTATAGTCTCCAAAGAAATACGAAAGCCAAAGCATATTGTATTTCGATGAGTGTGCTGTATATACACTCGCCATTGCCATGGGCTGTGAGTCTCATGCCTTCTCATAGCGTAATATATCACTATCGTCTGCAAAGACAGAAACGTGCCAATCATCAATCAGTGAAGCATACAATAAGAATGAAAAGAGTTGCTAAGGGGAGAAATGACATATGAGCGAACTATTTTGGCCAAATTAAAAGACGTGATACTTATAACAACCACGCTGGGGGGAAAAGCTGAAGGCGAGCGAGTAAAAGGCAGACGGCAATACGAGTTGGGGAGGAGGAGCAATATTACGAAGAGCGTCATGGTGAACTGCAGTCAGCTAGCACATCGAGGGGGAAAGACAGAGCATGTTGAAAATCCCTTACTGCAAACTGTATGTGTAAAGGCGGCACATCCTTGATTGATAGGTAATGAAGCAAACCAGTGGGCTTCCAACTGTACATCACGTGCTAAACAAGCGCCTGTGAAATTCTTTGAAGTCAGAAACTACAGGGATTGATAGATATTATAGTGGCGGTAGACAGTAATAAAACGGGCCTCAGCGTGAATAATGGGAAGACAGAAGCAATGGTAATATCAAAGGAAAGAATATTGGCTAAATGTATAATAAAAGTCAAAGGCGTTTTAGGACAAGTACAGGAGTTTAAATATCCAAGCACATCGATACCATCCGACGAAAGATGTATCACAGAGATAAAGAACAGAATAGGACAAGCCAAAACTGCATTTTATAAATAGAGCATTGTATACAATAAATCCATGTCATTGGATGTTAGGAAGAGAATTCTCGCATGTTATATAGAGACATGGCCAGTTTTAACACATGGTCATGAATCTTGGACAATTAATAAACAAGCCATATAATCTCTTTAGGCCTCGGAGATGTGGTTTTAGAGAAGAATCCTTAGAATTACTCGGGCAGCTAACAAAAGAGCACCCTTGGTGTTTCGAAAAAGGCGACGGCTCGAAGACAGCTTATTTACAGAGACGTTTTTTTTTTTTGTGTGTGTGTCATGAGAAGAAGGAAAATGGAACATGCTGTGACTACTGGAAAGATCTGTGGAAAGAGACAGTTCGAGGGAGAGAGAGAGAGAGAGAGAGAGAGAGAGAGAGAGAGAGAGAGAGAGAGAGAGAGAGAGAGAGAGAGAGAGAGAGAGAGAGAGAGAGAGAGAGAGAGAAGACTCTTGACAGCGTTTTGTCATGGAATTGAGGGATGTCAACACACGAACTGGTAAACGCAGTTGCAGATCGCAGATTGTGGAGAGGCATGATTGCCCACGACAAGGCACTTCATGATGATTGACATTAACAAGACTCCCTCAACCCCCCCCCCTCCCCTCAACCCCACCACCCTGCCCCCACTTCCATGGTCTTCTCAAATCCCAGCCTAACCCTATCCCCGTCCTCACCCCACCCATGCCCTACACCGCCATAGCTGACCACATATTTGTGTGTATCAGTCACTATTGCCCAGTTGTTGGCGCATTAGTTGTTATTGACTACAATTATGGTCGCGATAGTCGCTACAAACCACAGTTGTGGGCTCATCAGTCACTACTGACCACAGTTGTGGACGCACCATCCACTAATGACCTAGTTGTTGGTGCATTAGTTTTCCTAACCTAGTTGCGGGCGCAACTGTCGCCACTGACCCAGATGTGAAACGTATGTTGTGTCTAGCATTTAACCAAAAAATCAAAAAATATGTATGATTGCCATATTGTACAGGTTGCCAACAGCTCACAGTCGCTACTGACCACGGTTGTGGACGACTTTCAGTCTGATATGAGATACTTAGATGACCTCTACACTGTCCACTGCTGCAAAGGTTTAGCGTTGGAGATGTTGGAAACCCTGGCTGAGGATTTAAACTTCCGGTAGGGTGCCTTAACTCTCTCAGTATCAAAGAACTTATAGCATGTTGATTGGTTTATGTTTATATTGTACATATTTTTTTCAACTCTGTATGTCCTATTTATATTTTATGTTAATTTTAGCTTCTTTTGCTGTAAAGCTTTTAAAAGCTTCGATTTGCTTCTTCGCATTTTGAATGAGTCCATGACTTACATCCATAAGTTGCCATCGGAAAGTAGCATGATCTTAAAATTGTTACTTGCTTACAGGTGTTATGCCATAGATTCTTCAGCCCTTACGCTAAGGAGGCTTAGAAAGCCTTTTACTTTATTTACTTCTACTCCCAAGGGTTTGTAAACCTGGGCCCATTTTGAACAAGTTCTTTGTAAGCGATACCAACTGAGGAGATTATCATTCGAGGCTCCCCCCCCCCAAAAAAAATATAGTTGCTTATCCTTTGTACAGATTTCCCACATCAGAAGGAGACAATTTACATTCTTTGGTCATGTGATGAAAAGGGGAAAAGGAGTACATCGTGACAGTCGGAAGGTTTGAGGGAAAGAGGGAGACAGAGAAACGATTCTGGACAGTTTTACATCATGGCCTGAAGGAAGAAGTAGATGATGCCGATGATGATGATGATGATGATAAGTGTGTGTTGTGCTTTGTCGGTTATGCCGACTACGGAAGACAGGGCAGGATGTGGACTTGATGAGGCCCTAAGCTATATAAAGCCACGAGGCTCGACTATTCGAAATTACATCAGCTAATCTCAGCAAGTCTCAGTTTGATTAATGGGAAGACAGAAGTAATGGCGGTATCAAAGAAACGAATTATTCCTAAATGTGCAATAAAAGTCGATGGCGTTATTTTAGGACAAGTACAGAAATTTAAGTATCTGGGCACATGGATAACATCAGATGGAAGATGTATAACTGAGATAAGAAACAGAATAGGACAGGCAAAAACTGCATTTTATCAAATGAAGAATATCTTGTGCAATATATCCTTGTAATTGAGAGTTGGAAAAAGAATTCTTGCTTGCTACATACATCCAGTTTTAAGATTTGGCTGTGAATCCTGGACAGTCGGTAGGCAGGCCAAACAATTTCTTGAGCCCTCAGAGATGTGGTTTCACAGAAAAATGCTTAGAATACCTTGGACAACCAAAAAGAGCAACCAAGAGGTTTCGAAAGAGGCGGGAGCCCGAAGACAACTTATCACAGACATCAGAAGGAGACAGTCATCATTTTTCGGCCATGTTATGAGAAGAGGGAAAATAGAACATGTTGTGACCACTGGAAAGATCTGTGGAAGGAAGGATAGAGGAAGGCAACGAGAGAAGATTCTTGACAGTCTTGTTGCATGCATGGAAGTGTGTCGGCACACGAACTGACCCATGCTGCAGGAGGTCGTGGATTATGGAGAGGCATGATCGCCCACGCCAGTCGGAAAGGCACCTGATGATGATGATGATGATGGTGATGATGATGATGATGAATCTCAGAAAACAAGGCCTCGCGTAGAACGTCACTACATCCATCATGAAAATGGAGTTGGGCGCTGTGACGGCAGCTTTTCGATGGCAGGAGAACAGCGCAGCCCGTCATTTTGTAATTGTAACAGAGCATGCTTCGGAAAAATTGAAACCGGCGACCTGAGCTGCAGCTCAGTTAGTTTGTGCCTAAATTCAGCACTGACGAACGCCACTATACGCTCAAATTGACTGGTAATTCAAGCATATTGTTTTTCCACAGGTATGTTGTGTACTTTGTCAACGACACCAACTACGGAACTCTGGTCAACAACAACTGGACGGGCATGGTGGGAGACGTGATCAGCGGGGCCGCGGACATCATCGCTGGAGCCATCAGCGTCACCTCGGAGAGGATGAAAGTCATGGATTTTACTGAGCCTTTTTTGCAAAATAAACTATCCCTTGTGTCTGCCGAAGGAGGCAGTAACGTGTCCATCTGGGCCTTCTTGAGTCCATTCTCTGGTCAGGTTAGTTGAATATCTTTGTAAAGTGATGAATCTTCTTTTTTTTTTTTTTTTTTACATCTTCAGACGTATTGGCATACAGTGCTAAACCTAAATTTTAAACTGACTAATCGGCACTCGGCACGCCAACCGCCTTTGCTTCCAATTTAAGGCTGGGTCGACCTGGAAGCTAAATTCGTATTTGAAAAAAAAGTTCAGATTTGTTTGGATTTGAAACCACAACCTTTGAATTCGCAAGTGAGCATCTAGCCGCTAATGCAACAGCAGTTCCCCTGTTTGTCTTGGTCTTAGTCTGGATTCCAGCATCACTGCAATCGGGTTTCCCCATACTTGCTCTGTTCCTGTGACAGTTCAAATCAAATTATGTGTCCCTCATTGTTGCATTTGAAAAACTGGTGAACAAACAACTACTTCCGGCGCAATCCAGAAATATGCGCAGTAAATGCTGATTTCAGTTGCTGAAGGCATCAAAGCCAACAGTCGCCACCAGAATTGCAGTTTGTCGTTAAAGGAAGTAGTCAGACACGATTAGTTGGTTACTATACACACGTAGAATTATTACATAAGGTGTTTCACAAACCGGCTACCGGCCGTATTTAAAACCACGACACAATGGCTGCTCAAATGAAAGGCATTCCACAGGAAAAACACAGCTCACAGGAATGCAACCAAGACAGCCGTCCTTATCTTTGTGTGTCGTTCTTAATATTTGTCCTTTTTTTTTTTTTTTTTAAAAAGGCATCTACGTAACTTGATGGTTGTCTGTCGGGTAAAGGATTTGAGTTTCAATCTGCATCAGAATTGGCTTGCTTTTGGAGAAAAAAAATATCACGTTCAACCACATCCCGGAAGGGGATTCTTTAGGTTATAATTGTGACTAGATTTTCGTGCGCCATATAAAATGGTTAAGCACTGCTCGCCACCAACTGGCTCTGAAAAGAGCTTGCAGTGTTGATGCGATCAAAACAGAATGACCCAATACTGTGCCGGTCGGCAACAAAGTCGTCTACCGGTGAGCTAATAGGCGATGGTGCATCAGGCAGATTGTTATACTATGTCTAGGACTTCTATGTCAGCCTAGGCCACTGGTTCTCAACCTTCTTAATGCCGCGACCCTTTAATATAGTTCCTCGTGTTGTGGCGACACCCAACCTTATAGTTGCAGTAAATACTGCATGAAATCGGTCTCTTTACTTTTCACTTTAATATCAAACTATATTGACATACACACATGTCTCATCGTGCATTTACTTTTCTTTTCAGGTATGGCTTTGCATTTTCCTAAGCTCCATCGTCGCGGGCGTGGCCACGTCGTTCTTGGAGTGGCACAGTCCGTTTGGTCTCAACCCCAAAGGAAGGAAACGGACGAAGAATTACGGGCTGGGATCTGGTTTGCTGATGGTCATGGTGCTTCTAACCGGGCATACCATTAATGTTAAGGTGGGTAGTTAAGTTAGTCGAGTGACTTTTACAGGACGTTGCAGAATCAGCCCAGGCATTTTCTGGGCTGTTGCAGTTTGTGAAAGCAAATTTACGTTCATTTACAGTCAGCTCTCGACGCCAATGTTGAAACTAACTCACAGCGATCTGTTGCCAAATTACCTGCAGCTGGGATCGAACCCCCCAGCATCCCCCCTCCGGGGCTGACGAAGCGCGTTCGCATCGTCTAAGCCACAGACGCCTACTAAGATGGGTAACTGCTGTGAATATTTTCACCATTCTTATTATATTCTGAATGATGATGGCGTTGAAAATGTTACAAACTAGGGGCCGCGTTAGAGCAGTAGATAAGAGGCCCGCTTTCAAATCCAGCTGCGACTAGCTGCAGCCCACAGTCGGTGTTCGAAACGGGGCGGCTCCTGGGGTTCACACAGCCTCTAGGAAATTGGTACCAGAGTTGACACTCTAGGGTAAATGGAGGAACGTCGCTGTAGCTACAGAGTTACGTGCGATCGGCGACACAGGCGGACAATTCTTATCAGCTGTCCGTACTGGTGGCAGAGCGCTTGTGGCTTATAACCGTGTGCAATTACACTGGTTCACATCTCCCGACTTTACTTTTACTTTATGTTACAAACTGTGAATATCTAGGCCACATAATTAACAGCCATAGAAACTGTTCAACATATTTTTTTTTTTTTTTAAAGAAAGATGGCTGTGTCAATGAAATAATAAAACAGCATTAAAAATCAATGGTTAAGCACCAGCGAGGTAAAACAAAGTCAACTTTTGAGAGCATTGCATCTTTCTCATAGCAACATACGATTGTGAGTCATTGATTATCAGTCATTAGGGAATAGAATAGGGGCTTTAGATCTGAAATGCCATGAAAAGATTCTCAGAATACTTTGGAAAAAGAAGAACCTATTCTAAAAGGATTGGCTAGTAAAACATCTTGTCTATGAAAACGAAATATGTTGCCAATTTCTAGCGCCACGACGGACTGGAAGTAAAAGTTGCTTAGGTCATGGTACAAGGTAAAAGGGGCAGGGGTCGACCAGCACGAAGATTGGTACGTGATAAAAGGGACACTGTGGGTAGGAAAGTGAGGGAGAACTGGCGAGAGACTGAGTTTATTTCAGGCAGACTGTAATGACAACGACGTTCGGCAAAGAACCTGCTAAACGACAATGATGTGATTATAGAAACTCGGACATTTATACTTTTGTTTTCACATCCTTGGACTTCCAGGGAGATGTAAGGTTCTGCTTCTTGTTCTTATGACCGCCACATACATAGATATATCGTGGTATTGTAGAGTTTCTCATGTTATCTTTCCATATTATTTTCGTCTACCTCATGATCTACTACTCTTTCCTCTTTTGGAATATGCCCTTTTTGGTATAACGTTATGAGGTATTCAGTGGCCAAACTAGTCAGTCGATGAGAGCGAGTGAGTCAGCCATGAGTTAGTAAGAGCTAGAAAGAGTGAGTCATTCAGCTAGTGAGAGGGAATGAGTGGATTAGTGAGAGTGAGCAAGTTAGTCAATCAGTCAGTCAGTCGTTGAGAGACGAAATGATTACCAGTGAGTCAGTCAGTCAGTCAGAGCGTGAGTGAGTAAGTCAGTGAATGGGAGAAGAGAAAGATAGAAAAGTTTAAACTCATAATGATTATTTAATAGCTTGAGAAGCTTAAAATGCACGCAAAGATCACTAACATGAAAACCTGTTTTCACATCGTCAGTAAAGGCTAGGCATGCTATTGACTACCGAAATCGGGATGTTTTTTAGTGAAACGTGTCTGATTAGTTGAACTATCGATCACTTGTTTTCAGCGATCTAACCCTGAGTATGGTAAATGATGTTAATTTGTCGGAGGGAAAATTTCAAAATAAAATCTTTTTCTGCACATACACTGGCAGTCGCTCTTGAATAACTTACTTTACTTTCTTAGTCGCTCCTCTTCTGCCTTGGGCTGTAGATGATTTCCAGACAGATTGCCAGACTTCTCTGGCAGCAGGTTTCTTTCAGCTTTGTTCCATCTGTCCATCAGAAACTGTCGGATGTTGTCTTCCCACCGGACCCTGAGTCACCCTGGAGGTCTGGTTCCCTAGGTCTTAGCCTCCCCTGCCTGCAATGGTAACCGATTTTCTCCTGTTCTGCATTCATGTCCAAACCATCGTAACTGTGATTGATCCACTCGTTAAGTCCTGGGTTTCAAGATCTAGACGTATTGTCTGGCTGCTAACTTTGACCCTTCTTGTCTCTTGGACCGCCTTTCTCGGATATCTCATTTCTGAGGTCTGAAGTTGGCTTCTATGTGCTGTTGTCATGGCCCATGATTCACACCCGTCGTTCTTGAATAAAATGTTTTTAACTCTCGACCTTCTCAACATTCGTCCAGGTAAGATCAGTGAAGAGCCACGTAACAATTTTTTTTTTAAAAATTGGAACATGGCCAAGGGTCCAAATAAATTTCTGCCCAGAATGGCATAGCTTATATTTTGAGTGACACAATAAAGACAGCAACAAAAGCATAGGTGTATGACATTCACAGGAATCAAATACATGGTAAACTGTAGGCGACAAATGTGTCGTTGAAGTATTACAGAGTTTACCTTGACTATATGCTTGATTTAAAAACATTCCCCTAAATTGTATAGACCAGTAAACACTGAGTAGGTGTTAAGGCCACTTTTACTTCCCATAACTTTACCTGGTACCCATTTAAGGCTGGTTAGACCTGGAAACAAAGGTCATTTTTTAAGAAAGAAAGGAAAAAACCGGCTGCTTAGAATCTGAACCCACGACCTTCGGATCCACGGGCGAGCGTCTAGCCTCTACACCTTGGCGGCTCCCGCGAAAAAAATTCACATATTTATATTTAATGATACACCTAAGTACTATGAAGTCACACACAGTACGGTACCTGGGTACATAAGGAAACAATAAGGGTGCAAATAAATAAAACATGTAAAAAACAAGGTTCCACACATATAATTTTTTTTTAACGCCCAAAATTCGTTCATAAATTAAAACTGCAACAGCCGTTGAAATATCGTAGTGACAGTAATACAGCAAGAGATATAATGTCATATAGAAGATCATCTGCCAGTGAGGGAGGGAACGATAATTGCACACGAATAAGCCAGTAAAACTGATGTACACGCAAAACTCAGGTCCAGGTAAAAGCCAGATGTCTAACTGGACGAACAACCGGGACTTTCCACCGGAATTCACAACCGGTGAACAAAAAGAAGAAGAGAAATGTAGATGATAAAACTGCAACGGTACACATATTTCTTTTCCATTAGTCGCCTCAATAATACCAGGCTGTAGCCCAGTGTCGGGTTTTTATTTATTTTTTGCAGGTTTTAACTACATTTATCCACAACTTTCTTTGTCTTCCTCTCGCCTTCCTCCAAGATGTCCCACAGTCAAAAAGACTCATATGCAGTTTGGTCTGTCTGCACATGTTTAGAAACAAATATAAGCAAGGAGCTAAATATCGTGCACAAATAGAGAGGAGTTGAAATATATGCAGACTACCAACACCAAGTGTCCAAATGTAAAATTAAAGAACCTTTTTCCATGCCTTTCAGACGTATCAGGTATATAGGGCTAGACATAAATTTTATAGACAAACGGCACTTGGTGGGAAATCTGATCAGCATCACACAGGCAGCAATTTCTTCCCAGGACTGCACCCGATACCCACTTAAGGCTGGGTCAACCTGAGAGCCAAAGTCAGGAACCGAACCCACGACCTTTCGATCCGCAGCTGAGCGTCTAGCCGCTAGACCACGGCCGCTTCCAAGTGTCCAAATGACGTGAAGAAATTAAAACAACAACGTTTTAGATATCTAGAAATAAGCTTGCGATATTTTGTTTGGACACAGACAGCAAAGACAAACGTCACACAGACGCTTCAACAGCAAGTGTCTAAATAAAGGTTGCTGGATACACATACAAAATTATCTCCTCAATACTTGCTTCATCGCCTCTCTAGCGATGCACAGTGTATAATATTCAGATTAAGGACAGGACACAACAGACTTCATCGACATATGTGCAATCTTTTAGGTGTAGGAAACACGGAGATGTGCCCCGGCAACTTGGCACCCGAAAATGCTGAGCATGTGCTCTAACACTGCCAACAGAGACGCAATCAGGCTTGTTCCAACAACAATGCAGACAAAGCTATATGGTACACGAGAAGATATGGACTGCACTATAGCTTTCAAAAAGGTTACTGGCCTCCTGACATAAGTTTTCTGACAGAAGGACCGAAGAAAAAGACAAACTAAAACTGCAGAATGGTACTCGGCAGTATAATAAGTAAACTGTACTTACCCCAACTGTATGAAGCTGCTGTGAAGCTAGTAATGAAAACAGTAGCAAGTACCAGGTCGCTTTTCCTGAATTATCAAGTCCATGGGCTTGAGAACGGACAGAAGCTGAAGTCGTCTGGATGTGTCACTCGTCTCACTTGATCACTTGACAAATCTATAAAACCGTCTTTGTACACACACTTGTGTGAAATATCTTTTAATGGTCGATTGATTTTTATTTAAAATGATTACTACATGTAGGTATACAAGTCTGTTTTTCATAAATCAAAACGTAAATTGTCTTGGTGACGTTGAATACGGAATTAAAAACGTTCACATTTGCAGCTGTCACAATATTTTTCAGCGTCTGTATACGCTGGTGTTAGTTGTTAATAGTTCTTCTTTGTTTCTGTTCACCAATTTAAATGCATCACTATTACAAGATATTCTTGTTTCGTTTCTCCAATTTTAATGCAACACTTACTACGAGATGCACTTTCCTTTTTAAGTTTGAGGTTTCAACGACGGATCAACATCTTGGCACACGGGTAGTAACATTCGTTCTCCGTTGTTTCTTCTAACTCAAGTCTGAGTCCGAAGAAGCTCAGCACACTGCACAGGCTCTTTAGCACCGGTGAGGATCCTGAAATATTTTGGGTAGATTTTTAACTCAAAACATTTGCCCGGGCAGCGCCGTTGTGCTACTTTTTTTATTTTTATTTCCAACTGCCAAGGGATTTTTTAACGTGCGCAACAATGCACACGGGCGTCCGATATCACTACCCAGAGACCAGGGGGTATTACTGGAAGTCCACGTGAAAAAATCCCTGCTCTTACTGGGGATTGAACCTGGAACTTCTAGCACTCGAGGCGGACCACGCTGTCCGCTCCTGTTTAAGAAAATCAAGAAATGCATTCTGGTAGCGAAGAACATGTACGTCTAACATGGCTTATACCAAGTGTGTAGCATATATCTTAGTCTCCCTCCTCGGCAATTGTCAATCTCTCCAAAGAACTATATAACTATGTAAGTGAAAGCACTTTGTAAGATATTAATTATATGTCTTTCTGAACGTTTCTCCAATTTGAATTCACCACTATTGAAGTTGTGATCGCTGAAAATAAGGACATAATTGTAACAAAGTCGAAACAAAGATCTTACTTAGAACAGTAGAAAAATATAAATAATGATAATTACAAAGAGAATGGATCCTTAGAAATGCAGCATCAAAGTACATCATGGGATAATCCTCAAGCTAGTACTTGGGCACCCTGATAACAGCAGTTGAAAGATGTACGAGTGTCATTTGCGACGAAAAGGGATTTTTCACGAGCTATATAAATCCTTTAACATAGCCTGTACAAAGTTTGAAATCCACATCCTAGGCTTTATTCGTGGTAACTGTTGACCTCCACAACTAGCTACCTATATAATGTATTTCAGGGCGCGCTTGTATGAGATAGTTGTCTATTATACGTTAAATGTTTCTCCAATTCGAATTTACAACTGCTAAATCTGGTATGAACAGCATGAAAGTGCGGAAAACATAGTTCACGGTGAGTGAATAGTGTCAACGAAACTACTATTGTCACATCAGGTGGCACAGAGACAACTCAGTTCGAATTCACAAATGCTAAATCAACAAGGCGTAATCATGAAGTCCAGAGAAGACAGTTCACGGTGAGTGAATTATGTTAACGAAACTGTACTGTTGTCACATCAGGTGGCACAGAGACAACTCAATTCGAATTCACGGTTGCTAAATCAACAAGTCAGTTATTATCTGTGTGGGGAAAACGTACTGGTCTAGCGTGAATAGCATGAAGTTCACGGTGAGTGAATAGTGTTACCGAAACTGTACTGTTGTCATGTAATGTTGCACGTAGACAACTCAGTACGAAGACGAGACAGAAGCAGCCGTAATTGTTTTGGCCATTTGTGAGAAATGCTCCTTTCTCAGGGTTTACTAGCTGCTACTAGTTAAACCCACATCATCCATCTTGTGCCGATTGGTCTATAAAATATAGGTCTAGCCCTATATGCCCTATACCTCTAAAGACGTGGAAAGGGGTCCTTTACTTTACTTTCTAGTTAAACCAGGAAGTCACCGTGGTGTAGCGGCTAGACTCCTACCTGCTGATCGGAAGATCGTGGGTTCGGGTTCTGATAGAACCAGGCTTTCTTCAAAAATGACCTAGGCTTCCAGGTCGACCTATCCTTGAGTGGGTAACAGGTGCAGTTCTGGGAAGTAAATGCGACCAGCGTGATGTTGATCACACCATCCACCAATTGCCGACTGATCTATACAATACAGATCCAGCCCTAAATGTTATATACGCCTGAAGGTCTTGGGTTCGTTTCACTACGACATCGTTCAGTTTACTATTGCAATTGTTAGTGAGATCCCTGGTGATCGTCGCCGGAGCTACTGTGCTTTTGTGTTTTGCGATGTGCTCGGCAGGCGGCAAGCCGTTCTGCATAGGGAAAATGAGCCATGCGTGACAAAACCCGGCGCAAAAAAATTCGACCCTATCAGCTTTAACCTGTAACATTATTCTTTAATCTTGTTTCTCAGGCACCGAAGAGCTGGCCAGGGAAAGTGATCCAGAACGTTTGGGCAGGCCTAGCAATATTTATTATGACTAGCTACACAGCCAACCTGGCCGCTCATCTGGCTGGACAGTCGGCAGTGACGTCGGTGAAAAGTGTTTATGATTCTGATGTAAGTAAAGTAGCCTTTTAGTTTGCTAGTAAACACAGGTAAAGAACTCTTTATTACTGCACCGGCGTACGATCGGTAGACATATATTTATGTAGATTACAGTGGATGATGTGGTGAACACCACGCAAACCGCGTTTAATTATTTAATTCTCCGAACATGACCTTAATACTCATTTTATGGCTGGGTTGAACTTGAAACTAAGATCAACCTTTTCATTTTTTTTTTTTTTTAAATCTGCTTTGGAGAAATAAGAATAAACCGAGTAAGGATACACTGTGTTATGTGCAAATCACTTAAAATACGCTACGAAAAATCACCAGCAGTAGATGGCTAATGCTGATTTACTATGCAGTTTTAACTCTGGTGGGTAAAGACATAGAAGCTGGTGAATATATGACGGCAATATGGACTGGGCTGCAAGGGAATGGGAAAGTTGTTTAGTGTTGGTTTACACTCTATGATTATTAGGGAGACAGAAGATAAAACGAAGGAGGAAGAGGGAAGACTTAAAAGAAGAAGAAGAAGAAAAAGAAGAAGAAGAAGAAGAAGAAGAAAAGAAGAAGAAGAAGAAAAAGAAGAAGAGGAGGAAGAAGAAGAAGAAGAAGAAGAAGAAGAAGAAGAAGAAGAAGAAGAAGAAGAAGAAGAAGAGAAGAAGAAGAAGAAGAAGAAGAAGAAGAAGAAGAAGAAGAAGAAGAAGAAGAAGAAGAAGAAGAAGAAGAAGAAGAAGAAGAAGAAGAAGAAGAAGACGGAGGAGAAGAAGAGGAAGAAGAAAAAGAATGGAGAGAAAGAAGAGAGTAGGACAAGGCGCAGGAGGAGGAGGATGAGAAGGAGTAGGAGTAGAAGAAGAAGAAGAAGAAGAAGAAGAAGAAGAAGAAGAAGAAGAAGATGATGATGATGATGATGATGATGATGATGATGATGATGATGATGATGACGAAGACGAAGAAAGATGAATAAATAAGGAGAAAGAGAAGAAAAGGAACAAGAACAAGACAAATCAGGGAGGAGGACGAATTGGACATGATGTTAGGAAAATGATGCAGATGTAAATACTTGTGAACATATCTCTAAACGTTGTGTCTTTAGCTGATGGCCAAGCGAGTGGCTGTGATTCCCTCCAGCGCCGTGGAGTCGTTTGTGGAGAAGACAAACCCAAAACTTTCCAAGCGAGCCAAGATGAGCTACGTAGACTCTACGATTACAGCCATCAATATGTTGAGGTATCTGTCCGCACGCCTGTCTCTTTATGTATGTATATATGTATATGGTATTTATGTGTGTATGTATATAAAGGGTGTTTGTAAAGTCTCCCTAATCTTTGTATTCCGAATAAATTTGAAAAATCAAAGTACATAACGTCATTTAAAAAAATATGCAACGAAAGTGATTAAATTGGTTCAAATCATTACTACTATGGTCTTACATTGTTTTGGGGAAACTGGAAGTATCAATAGATTATTCAATACAAAAGGTCTTGGAAACGCCCACCACTGGCTTCAAGACATGACTGTTCACACCTTTTCATGTTGACAAATACCTTCCGCAACGTTGTGTTGTTATTTCTTGAATGGTAATTCTGACTGCTTCCCTTGATAACGCCATGAATGTTTTAGAGTGCAAAGAATTACTCCAGCAGACGATAGTCAGACTGCCTCGCTACCGACAGTGGTGCACATTTTTCGATGACGTCATGTGCTGCGTTTTCACATACAAAGTGTGGCGCTCCTTTGAATCATTCCCCAAAATGGCGGCATGCCACATTCTGGCCATAAAATATCCGAACGACGGTGTTCGCGTATATCTAAAATACGGACTTTCTGCCAAGGAACAAATCGCGGCAAAACTAGGATTACTTGACAATCAGTATCAACATTTGCACACGGTACTAGTAGCAGACGATAAATACCGACCGTTGACAACAATTTCGAGCGTTTCTGCAGACAATACTAGCAGACAATATTAGCGACCGTTGACTAATTTCGAGACATTACAGACGATGAAAGCCGATTAGCAAAACTGTGTTCTTCCGATTGGAGAATTTAGCAGCGGTAGATGTCAGACTTGTTGGCATGCGCCAAAGGTGATTAAACTCATCGCCGAGCGTAGCGGCACGGATGGGGACTAAACTAGGTGCCTGGGACTCACGAGTACAGTAATTGGAAGGAAGTTGCAGGAGATGCCGTAGCTGCCGCTCGTGAGTCCCAGCCATCTAGATTAGCCCCCATCCGCGCTGCGCGTAGCGGCGCGGGGGATACGCTCGGCAGTGAGGCACACTCGCAGAAGCAGGTCGGCAAGCAACGTATCGCCGAGACCCTGTCAGAGCATTTGTTTCGTTATCCGGAGCCGGCACATATATTTTTATTAGAACTGACCCGCATACGGATATTTTTGGATATTTTATGGCCAGAAATTGGCCAATTTAGCTCTCTTTCAAACGCCATCATATTAAAGCCGCTATTTTTGGGAACGATTCAAAGGAGAGCAAAAAGTGTAGTAACGTTACATCCTATTTCTATACAAGTATGTATGTACGTATGTACGTGTACATATATGTGTATACATATGTGTGTTTTGTGTGCGTTTTTGTGAGTAAGAAAGAGAGAGAGAGAGAGAGAGAGAGAGAGAGAGAGAGAGAGAGGGGGGGGGGAGTTGTCGACTAGATTAGCTTTCCCTCATAAGTTGCTTCCTTGCTTGCTAATTCCCAGCGGGACATCACTTGAGCAATAAACACTCGGTGACACAAAGTGCTACCATGCGGATTAGTATCCGCTCTACCGCCCGATACAGACACATGTGTCTCTCGTTAGCTTGCTAACTATCCATTCGTAGCCAGATTATCAATAGCTAGATACTGGTCAGAACTCGCTTGACATTCGGCTGAGTTTTGGCTCGACTACGCTATTGTTATTCGTCTGCGGGTGGGTTATTAGCGGCCCGGGAGCACAGCATTGTTGAAGAGCCAGCTATACCCGCCAGTTTTTTGAACGATTGCTAGAGAACTAAGGAGAAAGCACGCTTGGGTGTCCTTTTTAGGATACTCTAACAAGCCTTGCCGACTCCGAAGGGACCTAGCTTTCGCCACAGACCGCAATTGCCATCATTGATTTTCCTGTCATGGGAAAACAGCAAGCAGCCGCACCTACACCAAGGAAGAGGATGGCCATACCAGCAGCATCACCTGCAGGCGCCCCTATCGCGGCGCCTCGCACACCTACGCCAACAACTGAAGCCGCCCCCATCGTGGCGCCAGCACCAGAAGCCGCCCCAGTCGTGGCGCAGGAACCTACCGGCACCCGCCTACAAAGACAGCAGCCAGGAGCCCACAGCAGTGACAACATCATCATCCAGTGCTCACGTTGTAACCAGGCGTGGCACACAGCCGCAAACTGCCGCAACAGCCCAGCATGCCGCTACTGCTCTAAGCCGCACGACTTTAAGGAGTGCCCACTTGCCAAGAAGGACCCCGACTTTAAAAAGCCTAACAGTAGCAGAAGGTGTTCAAACTGTGGAGGGCCCCACAGCGCCAGATACATGGGCTGCACCTACCTAAAAATGTGCAAGCAGCAAGCAGCAATCCCAAGTAGTGAGAGAAGACCAGAGAAAGTGATTCCAGTCGCTAACAACAACGCGACAACCCAGGAAGTGAGAGCACTCAAAATCGCAGTCCAGAAGCTGACAGCAGACAAAGAGAAGGCCACCGCTGAAAGACTCGAGATGCTGGGACTAATCTCCCAAACACTAGACGAAGTCAGAGCCCAGAAGCGAGACAGAATAGCAGAAGCTGCGCACCACACCAAGCTGCTAGCAGAAGTAACTGAAGCAAACAAAAAACTCCAAGGCCTCCTGACACAGCTGAAGACAGAACAGGACCAGGCAGCAACCTACCGACTAGCCGAAAGAGAAGAAAGAAAAGCAGAGACGGCCTTACTTAACGAAGCCAGAGAGTCCGCGTACAGAGAAGTCGCCCTGCTAGTAAAAACAACAGCAGAAGCAGAAGCAGCTACACGAGAGGCAAAACAAGAACGAGAACTCTTACTAGCAGAGAGAAGCAAGGCACCAGCCGCAAAACCAAACATCAGCAGGGCCGACAAAAGTACAGAAACAGAAACCGATGAGGGAGGCACTGTCCAGCCAGTTGAAGAAGCCGTGTCCGAAGCTACAGAGGCGACCCCTACCACAGATGAGGCCACTATTCCTGAAGGAGACAAAGAGGCGGTAGCCATAAAGGTGGAAAGCGAGGCTGACCTTCTAAAAATGATAGAAAGCTTTAACAAACTGAACCACCCACACAGGATCGAGTTCGATAGTAGAAAACGCTACGATATCGTGTATGACGAGCCAGAGCTGGAGAAAGTTTACTTGCTGCCCGCTGTGGAAAGGCAAGCCTTCTTTGATAAAATCAACGGACTCCAGGACCAGATAGAAGCAGCCCGAAAACAGCTGGCCCATGCACTATGGAAACAAAGGAGTCAGGATACACCAAACCGACGCAACCGCAAGTACTGACAAGCCACCAAAACAAGACGAAGCCAGCAGCCAATCGAAAACCTCCAAGCCGCCATGACACCCAGTCTCCGTGGAACTAGCCAACCTCACTGACGCGACGCAGCCCAGTAAACCAGATTGACCACTCCCGCCCATCCCGTTCCAGGCCACCCGGCACATGTGGCTGTCCTTCTCAGGACAGCCATTTCCTCTCCCTAAACCTACAAGCCGCACGCCAAGCCCACGCTGCTAACAAGACGCAACAAATGAAAGAAAACTCAGGCGAAAATGATCGCCGCAAGGAATAAATACAAATCACACCACCATTGAACCGACTTCGATATAGCAAGCCGTCAGGCAGCTGAAAGAGGTCAAAATTTTGGAATTTTTGTTTCTTACGAATTGAATTGAATTGGCCCGGCTATATTCAGGGCCCCCGGCGAGGCGATCTCTCTTGACTAGTCTACAGCCTCTTTTCTGGACCACCACTAGAACATAAACTCTGGAGTTTACACCATCAAATTGTTTTTTTTTTTTTTTTTTATTTTAAAAAGCATCATTCGTCAAATGCCCAGGATTCAGAAGGTAAATATTGACAATCGGCAAGGAGATAGGGCAAGAGTTTTTAGGCTGTATTTAACCCAAACGGATAAAGAACAATGCTGGAACGTTCGCATACGATGTGTATGTAGGATTTCAGCGAAGGAAAGAAACAGTCGCTATCGCGATAGATCTTAACAAAGCTAATGACAGCGTTGACTTCACATATCTTATGCAGTGCGTGATGGACTATGGTGTGAACCCTTGGTTAGCTAATTGAACGGGGGCAACATAATTGACGTATACTTCCTTCCACACTCGTTACCTTTCAGTCTTGTTACCTCACACATATAAAACACACAATGGTTTATCCAGCAGCTCTGATCATGGCGGATAGAGTTCTTGGCCGGTTGGAACTTGTCAGCTACCACTTTGGATTAGACTGTCATTAAGCTGTCGTTTGACTGTCTTCGCATGGAACATAATCTCCTTCACGTCTTCGGTGTTACATTCACGCATCTCTCAGATACAACCTTTCACGCCAGCTGCCAAACACATACTAACTGATTAGACCTTGGTTCTAACCTTATAAACCTCGTTCTGGGTTTCACGTGCTGGTTTGAGCCCTGACTGTATGTCTCATGTTTCTACGAGTATTCACATTCTCTCTTATCTCAAGGTTACTCTCATATTATTGTTTAGAGAATTCCCATGGGGAAATACCAACATTACAGTGATAGGCTCTGGTCAAAGAAGAAATAAAACCACTGTCGCGTGCGAATGTGCACTAGTACGCACCGGTACTGAGTGAGCAAATAAGACGTCAAAACCCGTTGTGAAGGGCTTTTTCCCACAGAAAGAAACACACCGAGAAAAGAATTAAGAAGCTAAAGTTTAAAAGATGGGGAGACTACAGAAACAAACACACCGAGAGAAAAACTAGAGGTTACAAGTTTAAAAGATGGGGAGACTACAGAAACAAACACACCGAGAGAAAAACTAGAGGTTACAAGTTTAAAAGATGGGGAGACTACAGAAACCTTTAAAAAACACACACGACGAGAAAAACTAGAGGTTACAAGTTTATAAAGATGGCCAGACTACAGAAACGTTAAACACACCGTAGAGCAAAAACCATGAGGTTACAAGTTTAAAAGATACGGGAGACTACAGCTACGCTCGTCAAACAAACTAT